GCGTGTCCAGGGGCCCCTTTAGCCAGGCCTGGCCCGCGGGGGCGCCCAGGAACGCCCGAGGCCCTGGCGCGGAGGACGCCCACCCGCGGCCACTGACCAGAGGGGAAAAAGCACACAGACACAATTGATCGTCGATTTCCCAGAAAATCTGGGAAAATGTGGGGAGTGGGGGGGGAAGACCAAAACCCACAACATATGGGAAAATATAGGGAATCCTCTTACTTGTGTGTTTGCATTTGCGTGTCCCTGGGCCCCTTCACACTGACCCTGAGATCCTGGGGGCTCGGTTTTTTGAGTCGAGCGCTTTCGCCCAATTTCGGGCCCCGGGACCCTCGCAGAGCGATCCGCGTCGCTGTCGCAGCCCCTCGGGCCCCGAGTGGCGCAGAAGGATGCGGACCAGGCTCCGGTCGTGATTTTTCAGGACGCCTCAAGCCGAGTATGAGGGGGGACTCGGACGGGGCTGGGACGAGGATGAGCCCGTTCCACGGCGTTCTGGAACATTCTCAGAGTGTTCTGGAACGCTCTGAGAAGGCCGTGGCACCCGATACATCTTCCAGAACCGCTGGATTTCAGAGATTCCCGATTTATCCAAATCCGATGTTATCCTCGTCCTGCCCTGAGATCCGACGCAGCTAAAACAACCGCAACATCGTAAACATCGTGCCCAGAGCCCTAGACCCCATCTCTCTGCGTCACTCAGAGCCTGATCGATCTGTGAGGGCCCCAGGGCCCAAACAACAAGGCTTAGACGCCCGGCTCGAAAAAATTGGGACGCAAGGATCTCAGGGTGGCTTCGTCTTTCTCGAGTAGGGGATCGACTACTTAACTTACGCTGCACCGCCGACCCCTTGGGGAGAGTCACTGTTGTGGCTTCTGGGTGCTGCGTGACTTATGCTTGTATTTATATCTAGTGGCCTTCGGTCCATCCTGCCACCATGCCTAGGTTGTGGTTCAGAGGCCTCTTGGATATTCGTTCGGATCTCGTGAAAAGCCCCTCGGGGGCTTGCCCGAGATAGTTTGGAGGCCTCTGCGGGGCTGTTTTGGGGCCTCTGGGTTTTTTTGGGGGCTCTTGGAGCGTCCTGGGGCCTTCTTTGGGGCCCCTTGGGCAGTCTTGTGGCGGTCTTGGGTTCCTCTTGGGCCGTCTTCTAGCGCCGGAAGCCGGAAAACGCGAGAAAGACAAACACTTCGGAAAACACTAAGAAATCACCGAGTTGGGGCCTCTTGGGGTCCTTGAAGGAGGCCTCTGCGAAGCCTCTTGGGGAGTCTTGGAGGCATCTGGAGCCGTCGGGAGGCCATCTCTGGCGTCTTGGGACGATATTTGGGAAACTCGGGGCCCTGTTGGACCGTCTGGGAGGTCTCTTGGGGCCCTCGTGGCCCGTTTGAGGCCTCGATGCCTTCCCAGCAGAATTTCTCGAGCAAGGTACACCCCGGCTGGCCTGGATAGACCCCCCCCCTCCAAATCGACCGGATCCGGCTCCCGGGGGAGGGGTTTGGGAAGGGGGATGCATCTCACACGCCGATGGAACCCCAAGGGGTCGGCGGATTTACCCATTCCTTGAGACATCCTGCGGACATCCTTCGGAGAATCTGGGAACCCCCTGCGGACATCCTTCGGAGACATCCTGCGGACATCCTGCGGACATCCCTGGGAACCCCAAGGGGTCGGCAGAATCTGGTCATTACAGCATTCTTTGAGACATCCTGCGGATATCCTCGGTGCAAAGAAAAAAAGAATCTGGTTGTTCGTCGAATCTACGAAAAGTGCGCATTGCTTGTCCATTCGGCGAGAGAATCAATTATGGGGCAAATCAATCGTGCAGTCGATCCTCTACTCGAGTCTGAGGATTCAGTCGGGCATGTTCCTCTTCATGAGGAGTATTCAAAAATAGTATAAAAAAACTCTGGGGACGAGTCTCCCATTTTTGATTACTATTTGAGCATTTGTTGGCTATTTGGTTTTATTCATCCAGGATCCGCCTGTAGGAGGACACGCCCGACTCAATCTTAGGGGCAACCACAACAACCTCGTCGGATGCCTGGGATCGACGAGCTCGACGAGAAAATCACTTTTGAGATAACCCGAAATGGTAGTCGATCCCCTACGCGAGTCTAGAGGGCAACAGCAAGCGCCTCAAAGGATGCCTGGGATGCTGCTCGGCGGCCAGGCTGCCCGCGCCCCGCGCCGCCCGCACCCTCCCCCCCCCTCCTCCTCCTCCTCCTCCTCCTCCTCCTCCTCCTCTCCTCCTCCTCCTCCTCCCCTCCTCCTCCTCCTCCTCCTCCTCCCCCTCCTCCTCCTCCTCCTCCTCCTCCTCCTCCTCCTCCTCCTCCTCCTCCTCCTCCTCCTCCTTCTCCTGCTTCTCCTCCCTCCTTCCTCCTCCTCCCTACACGGACCCGGTCCCAAGTCAGCGTCATATTTACCTCCTCTCCCTCCTTCCCTCCTCCCTCCTCTCCTCCCCTCCCTCCTCCTCCTCCTCCCCCTCCTCCTCCTTCTCCTCCTCCTCCTCCTCCTCCTCCTCCTCCTTCTCCTTCCTCCTCCTTCTCCTCGCCGCCGCCGCTCCTCGTGGCTCGAGGGCGCCGCCGCCTCGCGGGGGGGGCGCGCCGCCGGGGGGGCCTGAGCACAGCGGCGAAGCGCCTCGGCTTTGGGCCGCAGCGCTTGTTTTTTGTCGTCGTCTCGCCGAGCGGCGCGGGCCCACAGACCCCCCCAGAGATCCAGCGCAGTGAAAAAATCAAGACGGAGCTTTTTCGCCGATGTTTCGGCCTCTAGAGGCCCTCGCCGGGCCCCAGGACCGTCAAAAAACGACTCGGGATGAAAAACCGGTCCTGGGGAATGTGGGTCGAGGCTTCCGGGGACCGCGTCTTGAAAAAATCACGACATCGGATCTCTGGTCCCCCTTCCCCCTCCCTCCCTTCCTTGGTCACAAGTCATCGGGGCCTTGTGTACACTTGTCATGCTGTCTTTAGGGTGCATCAGCGTCGATTGGCGTAAGGTAGTCGGTGAGATAGTGCCGATTTGGCGTCGATTTAGCGCCGATGAGCGTCGACCAGCGTTGATTAGGATCGATTCGCAAGAGACGACAAGATGGTATGGAAGGCTCCCTTGAGTTGTCTCCGAACACTACACAGTCGCCCTGGGGGAAGCGGGTCCTGAGGGACACGCGTCCTGAGTTTCTGCGCTGGTCTCGAGCTGTCGGGGCCCTCCACCGGCCCGCGGGGCCTGACAGGAAGCGGCCCAGGATGAACACGTGGTCTTTGGGGCAGGGCCCCGGGCCCCAGGCCCCGTTTCCCTCAGGACCCGCCTCCCCCGCGCCAGCACCGACCAGATTGTTGGCTGCTTCTGGCGGCTGCTTCACGCGACTGGTCGGCGCCCCCCTCCCCCCAGTCTGCTGGCCCGACTGGTAGGACCAGATCGGCTAAGCACCGGCCTTGACCCAGACCCCCTCGCCCTTCGGCCAAACGACGAACCCCTGGATCAACAAAAAAAACGACCTTGCCTATAGAACCGTCAACCAGGTTACCGCGGGGACCCTCGTAGAGCCCTTGACGCGCGAAGTAGCGCTCAGAATGCGACGAGAAAGTTTCCTTGAGTTTCGAGCTTAAAAGCTCGAACAACTATTTTATCGGTTTTATACCCTAGGCCTACCAGATGGGGTCCGAGTAGATGGGGTCGGATCGCGCCGCATCGGCGATGCATCGACGATGCGGCTCGATGTGGAGCCCGATCTGCTTCACGTCGACGTCGCCGATGCATCGCCCACGTCGGCGATGCATCGCCGATGCATCGCCCATACATCGCCGATGCATCGCCGATGTATCGGCGATGCGGCGCGATCCGCCGACCCCATCTACTCCGACCCCATCTAGGAGGCCTCTATACATACGAAGTTGGTATTTCAGATCTGTTCCCCCGCGTGTGTGTTTTCTTGTGCGGCGACAGCCCGCTGCCTCCTCCCCTCCCGTCGGAGGGGCCGCGCGTCCAGCACGTCTGCCCTGGCTGCCCTGCCGGGGCTGGCGCGCGTGCGGGCCTGCCCGTGCCTCCCCGCCTTGTCCAACCCGGGCCGCCAGCGCCGCGATTACATTCAGGAGGAAAAAAAAACACAGACACAATGAATCGTCGATTCCCCAGGAAAAGATAGGAAAATATGGGAAGTGGGGGGGAAGACGAAAACCCCCAAAGTATGGGAAAACATGGGGAATATGTTTATTTGTGTGTCCTGGGGCCCCTTCAACGAAGAGGTCTGCCATAGCCACTGCAATCCGAGCTGTCGTCTCGATTTTCTCTGCCCCGCTGCCTGCAGCAGGACACGGCCCCGGAGCCGATCGCGAGCTCGTTCGTCCGAAGGGGTCCGCGTCCCTTCCCGGGGGCGTGCTTCTCCTCCCGTGGGGCTCTGCTGGGGCCCGTCCAGGGCCCCGAGAGGCCAAGCATGCTGAGAAAGCATGCCCGTCGTGACGGCGCCAGTCCGCGGCGTCAGAAGGGGGAGGGTGGAGGTGGCTCGCCCACGACCCATGCTCGAGGGCCCCCGGGCCCGACACCGGGCCCCGAGGGTCCAGCTCCATCCCAAAAGAGATCGCCCACATGCAAACATTCAGCCCGTGCAAAAAAACGGAAAATCCATTGCACTCAAACTTGAGACGGTTCAACCCATCCAAAGGATTCAACCCTTTTCGAGGGTCAATCCATCCCAAAAAATGCAGTCCGTTAATTATTGATGCAAAAAGTGAAGATTTGCGTGTGTGTATATCTACATACATACATACATACATACATACATACATACATACATACATACATACATACATACATGCATGCATGCATGCATGCATGCATACATACATACATACATACATACATACATACATACATACATACATACATACACACATATGTGTGTTTGCGTGTCTTCTTCTGTAAGCCAGAAGCGAACAATCTACATACACACGGAGATCTGGGCCCGCCGACCTCGGCAAGCCGGCCGCCCCCCTCCCGAGCGGCGCGCCCGGCCATGTCGTTCCCGCTGCCGCCCCGGCCGCGCCGCAGCCTGGAGGACTTCGGCCTCGGCCGCGAGCTGGGCGACGGCTCGCTGGCCACGGTGCGGCTTGCCACCGAGCACGCCTCGGGCAGGAGGCTCGCCCGGGCATCGGGCGGAGAGCCCTCCTCCTCCTCCTCCTCCTCCTCCTCCTCCTCCTCCTCCTCCTCCTCCTCCTCCTCCTCCTCCTCCTCCTCCTCCTCCTCCCTCCTCCTCCTCCTTTCCTCCTCCTTTCCCTCCTCCTCCTCCTCCTCCTCCCTCCTCTCCTCCTCCTCCTCCTCCTTTCCCTCCTCGTCCTCCTCCTCCCCCCCTTCCTCCTCCTCCTCCTCCTCCTCCTCCTCCTCCTCCTCCTCCTCCTCCTCCTCCTCGTCCCTCCTCATCTCCTCCTCCTCTCTTCCTTTCCCTCCTCGTCCTCCTCCTCCCCCCATTCCTCCTCCTCCTCCTCCTCCTTGACCTCCTCGTCGTCCTCCTCCTCCTGCTCCCCCTCCTCCTCCTCCTCCTCCTGCAGGCCGACCCGGATGATCGTGTTCTTATTCACTGTTTTGCCGATTGGCGCGGGCTCTCGCCCCCCCCATCCCTGGAGTAGATGTTGGCTGCGTTTGGCGACTGCTTCAAGCAGGTGGAGTCTCCCGCACAGGATGCACCGTTGCAAACAGTCGCGCCAAGCACAGGTCCAGAGCCAGACCCCCCCCCCCAGGGGGCCACATTCGAACCCTACCCATACCCCCCACGATTTCTGAGGGGGAGGGTGGGGTTCGCTTCGTTCGGGAGCTCCCGAGCGAAGTGAACCCCACCCTCCCCCTCGGAAATCGTGGGGGGCAGGGGTAGGGTTCGCATGTGGCCCTCTCCCCCCCCCTCCCCCCCATCCGCCCAATGTCGAGACCGGGCGAAGAGCCGAGGGGCTCTCGCGCCACCGGGGTGGAGTCGGGCATGCCCCTTTGCTGGAGGAGCATTCCAAAATAGTAGTCATGAGAAACAGAATCTGGGGGTGATGTTTCGATTGACTACTTTCGAGTATGTTCAGACCATGGTTTGAAACTTTGTCCTCCCAGAATCCGCCTGTAGGAGGGCATGCCCGACCTAACTCCAGGGGTGTTGGCCTCATCTTTCCAAGAGGAAGAGGGAGATGCAGCGGCAAAACATGCACACATTCAACCCGCATAGTAGGGATGAGCGACTTTCCACGGTTACCCTTGCCCCCTTCTCCTGCGGCTCTTGGCAGCTTTCGCTGGCCGCGCCCCGCTCGCAGAGTGTCGGCATTGCCTTCCAGGGCCCTTGCATCCTTATCGTGCGCCCTTATCATACGGGTTGATTGTAAGCACAGATGTTCGGAGCTCCATGTGAGCGACGGCAGAAAACGGGGTCGTCCGCGCCGACGTTCGCGCGTGAGCGCCCTCGTTTCCCAGCGCGGCGTGCCGCGACGGCGGCCTGCGTTGTGGGCCGCGGCATGAGGTCGCTGTGCCATCTCGCGTCAGACCCGTTGCTTTTGTCGTTGCCCACGTGTGCAATGTCTTGAGTGCGCAGCACCCGAGCCTGACACGCACGATTCAGGAGGGAAAAACACACAGGCACAAATCATCGTCGATTCCATTGACAATGTTGAAAATATGTGAAGCGGAGGGGGGACGAACATCGGGAACATGAGGGGCAGGGCTGGACCCAAACGGTGTTTTTTGGCGTTATCGTGGCCCGTTTTCGTTTCGATTCCGTTCTGCGGGAAAGGCGGATTCGAGACAACAGCGATGGAAAACGAACACAAAACGAAAACGAAAACGAGAAACACCGTTTAGGTTCAGCCCTGCTGAGGTCAGGGGTGGACAGAACCCCCAACAGTCACACGTCGATTAGTGAATTGTCCGTTTTCGGTTTTCGAGAGGGCGCCGTGGCCGTTATTTTCCAGGCTTGCGCCCGCCAGGTTTGGGCCTCAGGTCGTTTTCACTAAACCACGCTTTGCTAGAGGGGGTCTGTCCATCCCCGATGAGGGGAAACAGAATCAGGGAATCGCAGGATTTCTGTCCACTTCTGCGTGCGCCCCTGCGCTCCCCTCCCGAGCCGCGCGTGGCTCGGGGGGCACCGAGGGGCGGTGGCCGCCCCTCGCGGCCACCGAGCACGAGGCGCGAGGGAGAGACGAAGTGGAAGCGCGGAGAGCGGCCGCGGAGCTCCTCCTCCTCTTCCATCTTCCTCCTCCTCCCCCTCCTCGTCCTCCTCCTCCTCCTCCTGCCCCGAGGGGGCCCCTCCCGTAGGGGAGGGGTCGGGACCCTAGGGTCCTCCTGGCGCAGGCGGGGAGCGCCGGGCCCGAGGGGCGAAAAGCCCCCGCTCCCTGGGGGACGCCGCCAAAGTGCGGTTTCCTTCCCCCGGGGGGGTCGCCAGGTCCCGTGGCCTCCCCCAGGGCGGTGCTGGTTCCCCCCAGCGCTCGCCGCCCTGGGGCGGGACCGGCGGCTCGTCTCTGTCGTGTCGTTCGTCCGTGTCGTGTCGTTCGTGTCGCGTCGTTCGTTTCGTCCCCCTGTCGTGTCGCGTCGTGTCGTGTCGTGGCGGGTCTGGGCCCCTGGGGTGGGTGGCGTGGGTTTGGCTTGGTCTGGCCCCCCTCCGTTCTGTCGGCTGCCGGGTGTTCCCGGCTGGGCCGTTTCCGGCCGACAGAACGCGGGGGGGGAGCTGGCCAGCTATTCCCATGCTGCCCGCTTGCGGGGGGCCCGCGGCGCCGTGCGCCACCCGCGCCGTGAGCGCCCCGCGGCCGGCCGCGCGCCCGCGCGCGGGCGCCCGCCGGCCGCGGGGGCGCGCGGCTTTAGTGCTGTGCACTCCCCCTTTCGAGGGCATTCCAATCCAATCAATCCTCCTCCTCCTCCTTCTCCTCCTCCTCCTCCTCCTCCAGCTCCTCCTCCCCCCCCCCCTGCGTTCCTCCTCCTCCTCCGCCTCCTCCGCCTCATCCCCCCCCTCCTCCTCCTCCTCCCCCTCCTCCCCCGACGGCGGGGCGGGGCCCAGGAGACGGGGGTCGGCCGCGCGCAGAGGGGGGCAGAGGGGAGGGGGGATGGCTTCTTCGCAGCACCCCTGCTTCTTAGACGGTTCGAGCAGTGGCGAAGCGCCCTGGCTCGCCCGCCGCCCCACCAAAGAATAGTCTAAGAACTTTCGTGGTGGTTTCCACGACACGTTCATAGAACACTTCTGGCCGAGATTGCTTTGTTTTGACACCTCCGGCTTATGTTCTAAGAACGCTGTTTTTGTTATTGGAACATTTCTGGGTTCTAAGAACATGTCGTGGTAGGCGTGCAGGAATGCCGGGACGGTCTGTCCCTGCTCAAAATGTGCGGACCTCCTCTGTAGATGCAGGGCCCCGCGCCTTCCAAGAAGCGGCCTGTTTCTAAGAAGGTGCCCCCCCTGGCCCTCCTACCCCCCTCTGCGCGCCGCCGAGGGGGTCAATGCAAACGGGGGTCAGCCACAACGCTGGATATTGCAGGATTCTGCAGACCCAGGGGTGCACTGACCCGGGCTTGGGCGCAGGATCCTGCAGGATCTGGCAGGATACTGGAAAGCTTGACTGATCCGGGTCTGGATTGACCCTGGTCAGCAAGTCCTCGAAAGGAACGGGTGGCAATGAGGCGTGACCTACATGGGAGGTGAAGGACAAGAGTCTGAAAGGTTTTTTAGGGCCCCTTTGGGAGCCAGAAGGGGCCCTAAAGGGCCCCTTTGGGGCCCTTTGCTTCGAGGAGGAGGAGGAGGAGGAGGAGGAGGAGGAGGAGGAGGAGGAGCCCCATGTAGGGCACCCCCCATGGCCACCCGCCCGAGGCTAGGCCCGAGCAAGGCCTGCAGCCGCCACAAGCTGCTTGCTCCCGCAGGGCCTGCTCGGAATCTGATCCACGACCCCGGGGTTACAGGGAGCCGGCCAGTGTTTGGGCCCCGAAGCCCCCAATTTTGAGATCCTGGCGTCTCCATTGTCTCGAGCCCGGCGGTTTCGCCTCTGTTCGGGCCTGGGGACCCTCCCAGATCGATCCGTTTCGCCTAATGACGCGAAAAGCTGGGGTCTAGGGCTCCGGGCGTGATTTTTACGATGTCGCAATTTTGTTCGCTTCGTCGGATCTGAGGGGATACGGGCCAACATCACTACACCAAGTCGGCCGTAGCCGGTGCTTTCCGGGCGGCGTCAGTTCCGCTGCAAGTGGAACGGGGCGGGTGGAGGGCGCTTCCCCGGGTACACATCACTAAACTCAGGAGGGAAAGAAACACACAGACACAATTAATCGTCGATTCCCAGAAAATATGGGATAATATGGGAAGTGGGGGGGAAGACAGAAACCCAGAAGATATGGGAAAATATGGGGAATCTTTTAATTTGTGTGTATTTAGTTGTGTGTCCTGGGGCCCCTTCATAAACCAGGTCCCGCTGAGCCCAAGGTCTTCTTATCTTCGGAGGCCTGGCCAGGGCACGCCCCTGACGTGCTCCAGGAGCCGACTTGGAACCCGAGCGGACGACCTCCGGCGGCTGGACAGGATTGTGCCCCGCAAAGACTGCTGTTTGCAGTTTTCGGTGCCTGGGGGCTCGTTCCCAGGCCCTGGGATAAAGCCGGCCGTGTCCCTCAACGGGGGGAAGATTCCAGAATAGTCCCAAGCTGATCCGGGGACTATTTTTTGAGTATGCTTGTTGATCGTTTTGGGCATGCTTTGACTATTTTCTATGTTTCGTCGCAAGTCCCCTCGTAGGGGGGGGCACGCCCGACTCAAGATACGAATTTCTGGGCGGACCGGGCCGTGGCCACGGGGGCGCCCCACTGACTGGCCAGAAGACGCCCAGAAGGCGCACCTCGAAGCTCGGGCCTCGACCAACTTGGAGGGCCACGTTTTTGGGCATAGTTTGGGCATGTTTTGACTATTGCTTCTTTTTCTTTTGGGGCACTTAGGGCATAGTTTGGCTATTCGGGGCATGTTTTGACTATTTGTTTTTTTTCTTCTTCTTCCAAAATCCCCCCGTAGGAGAACAGGCCCGATTCAGCCCTGGTATCATCTACAAAACAACCCTGGACAGACCCGCCCCAGGGCGCGGCGAGCTCGCGCCGCGTGAGCGCGGCGGCGACCCTTCGCGCGGGCGTTCAAGGTCACGCGCCGGTGGCAGCTCGGAGCCGGCAGCTCTCGAGCGATGCGCACCATCGAGAAGCCGCGGCCGCTCAAGCCTGAACTGAAGTCGGGCCTGTCCCCCTACAGGGGGATTTTCGACGAAAAATTTTAAAACATACCCAACAAATAGTCAAACAATAATCAAAACATAGTTGAAAAAAATAGTCTGGGGACTATGTGTTTAGTATTGTTGTGCCTTGTTGTTGCATTTTTTGAGTATTTGTTGTTTTTCTTTGAAAATCCCCCTGTAGGGGGGACAGGCCCGACATAAGCCTAAACCACACTCGGGGCATGTGTACACATCGGTCGATGAAGGTAGGTATTTCTGGATTCCCAGAACCAGATCTGCTTCAAGCGCCTTCCTACTTCAACCATCGGTCTGCTTTTGCTGCGTTGTGTTACCTATCTGCCCGAACCCAACATACTTCATCCGCCTTCCTACTTCATGTTTCTACCTACTTCTTCCGACCGATGGGTAATATATTTCAGACACAAGTTCGGTCAGGCCAGATGTCACTCACCTTGGTGTCCATTGATCACTCCTCTCATCCCCTCAGCAACCCCCGCGCCGATCCTGGCAGGTACGCGCTGAAGATGTTTTGCCGCCAGCATCTGAGGAGCAACCACAAGGACCGGACGTTGCCAAAGAGTGGCCCTCGCAGGGCAGAGAACGGTTGATCAATGCTTTATCGGAGGTCCGCCCGGAGTCCCGGATAGGCGTCGGGCCCCCCCTTCCCAGGAGGCGCCGGCCTTGGCGCGCTCCGAGCGCCAGGGAGGGGGGTCCAGCGCCGATCCAAGAGATGTGCGCGGGCCTTCGAGAAATGATGTCTGTGCTGATGGTGTTCCACACTGCTGTAGCCTTGATCACCAGGAATGTGGTCCTGTGCATTTCTCTGTTCCCCGACTGCTGGCGGTCCAGGCCCCAGATAGCCCCCGGCTTGTCGCGCCGCGCTGGAGCGCTTGGCGCCCTGGACCCCGCGAGGGGGGTGCTCTGGAGGCCCCGTGGGCCCCCCTGGAAGAGCCACACCGCGTGGTGACCACACCGCGTGGTGATCGTTTTCTTATGCATTGTTTTGCATAACCCCCGGCTTGTGGCGCTGCGCTGGAGCGCTTGGCGCCCTGGACCCCGCGAGGGGGGTGCTCTGGAGGCCCCGTGGGCCCCCCTGGAAGAGCCACACCGCGTGGTGACCACACCGCGTGGTGATCGTTTTCTTATGCATTGTTTTGCATAACCCCCGGCTTGTGGCGCTGCGCTGGAGCGCTTGGCGCCCTGGACCCCGCGAGGGGGGTGCTCTGGAGGCCCCGTGGGCCCCCCTGGAAGAGCCACACCGCGTGGTGACCACACCGCGTGGTGATCGTTTTCTTATGCATTGTTTTGCATAACCCCCGGCTTGTGGCGCTGCGCTGGAGCGCTTGGCGCCCTGGACCCCGCGAGGGGGGTGCTCTGGAGGCCCCGTGGGCCCCCCTGGAAGAGCCAAACCGCGTGGTGACCACACCGCGTGGTGATCGTTGTCTTATGCATTGTTTTGCCGATAGTCGGGAGTGGACAGAACCCCCACCCTGACACCTCGATTAGTGGATTGTCTATTTTCGGTTCTCGAGAGGGCGCCGCGGCCGTCATTTTCCAGGCTTGCGCTTGCCAGGTTTTTTTCACTAAACCACGTTTTACTAAAGGGGGTTCTGTCCATCCCCGAGAGGCGAAGGCCCTCGCACACCCCCCCTCCCCCCCCTGGAGTAGATCTTGGCTGTCTTTGGCGCCTGTTTTGAGCAGGTGGAGTCTCCCCCACAGGACCCACGGTTGCAAGCAGTCGCATCAAGCAGAGGTTGAGAGCCAGATACCCTTCCCCTTCCGCCCAATGTCGAAACGCCAGGTAAGAAAACGCTCACGTAGTGAGCCAGTGGGGTTTTTGGGGTCACCACACGGTTTTGGGGGCTCGGGTCGTTCTCCGCAGGGCCTGCTTCGATGCTTCCGATTCGATTCGATCCGAGTCTCAGGGCTTCTGCTTCCGATTCGATTCGACTTCGGATTCCGATTCGGGCTCCGATGTCTCACTGGAGCCCTACTAAACTGCCGATTTCCGCCGATTCGACTCTTCCCGTCTCGGCTGCCGATGTCCGCCGATCCGATTCCTTTCGATCGCCAGTCCGACTTATCGATTCGATGCTTGGCTCGCCTGGTTCTCCGACCGGTGCGAACGGGATGGGTACGGCAGGAGCGGGGGCGGAGTCTGGCAGCGGACCCTGCCCATTTTTAGAGCGTGGCTCGCTGTCGAAAAACTACTCAGGACGAAGAGCCAGAGCTGGGGTGCTGGTCCAGACCTCCGGTGCCCATACATCAAAGAAGTTGGATGAAGTCGGGCATATCTTTCCACAGGAGGGATATTCCAGAATGGTAGAAAAGATTCGATGGGCGATGTGTCATGCTCTTTCGACAATGTTTGATCATGTTTGGACTACTTCTCATTTTTCTTTCAAGCTCTGCCTGCAGGAGGACATGCCCGACCTAAAAGTTGTAGCAGCCGGATGTCTGGGGAAGGCCGCTTGCCCAACAGACAGCGGCCGCTGCCGGTATTGAACAAAATGAGGCGACGCAAAAAAAAACAAGGAGTCGACTGCGCCGACATTCGCGCGTAAGTTTCCCGCGTAAGTCGGGGTCAACGATAAGGGGGGTATAGGCATAGTGGTAGATGCATCGACCCCCAACCGCCCATGATCACCGAGATGGGTCCGATGGCCCCAACTTGCCCAGGAACGTGCGGATTCACTATCGGGGGCCTATCGCCGAACTATCGGAGATGTACAGAGGAGACCCATGCCAAAAAAACACCTTGTTTGCCTCCAGGGTGCCCTGGGTTTCTTGGGATTTGATGGTTTTGCTACGGAGAGCGTGACGCTCCCGTGCCAAAGATCAGTGGACGTCCTGGGGTATCATGGTTGGGTTTCTTGTGGACGGGCCTCAACTGTACGTTAGGTTCGTGTCGTGTCGACCGGCGGCGACCCCGCTAGTGGCGTTCAACGTTGAACGCCGCTGGCGACCCAGAATCGTCCGATGTGGAACGATTTGGACGCTTCGGAAACAGCCGATTTTTCAAGGCTGACCGATCCCCGCGGTGTCAGGAACCAATGCCGAAGTCGACACGACACGAACTTGCCGTATCGCTCCTTCCAGGTCGATGTTCCCCCCTTTATGCTTATTGAATGGCCTCTGGCCAGTGCCGCCGATCCGAGGCGCTCCAGATGCTGGTGGTTGACACCACGACGACGGCGACGACGACGACGATGGCGACCTCGACGCCAACATCGGACGACTTACGACTGACGGGAGGCGGGAGGCGGGAGGAGGGAGGAGGGGGGAGGGAGGAAAGAGGAGGGAGGAGGGAGGTCGATGCGCGCCGTTGTGGAGCATCCCCTCCTCCTCCCCCTCCTCGTCCCCCTTCTCCTCCCCCTCCTCGTCCCCTTCCTCCTCCTCCTCCTCCTCCTCCTCCTCCTCCTCCTCCTCCTGCTCCTCCTGCTCCTCCCCCTCCTCCTCCTCCTGCCCCTCCCCCCCCCCTCCCCCCCTTCCTCCCCCTCCTACTCCTCCTCCTCCTCCTCCTCCTCTTCTCCTCTCCTCCTCCTCCCTTATCCTCCCCCTCCTCCTCCTCCTCCTCATCCTCCTCCTCTCCTCCTCCTCCTCCTCCTCCTCCTCCTCCTCCCCCCTCCTCCTCCTCCTCCTCCTCCTCCTCCTCCTCCTCCTCCTCCTCCTCCTCCCCTCCTCCCCCCTCCTCCCCCTCCCCCTCCTCCCCTTCTCCTCCTCCTCCTCCCCCTCCACAATTACTCAATATGAATACTACTCTCCCTCTTCCCCTGATGACGGTTTGAAAGTGCTCGACCACCCCCCCGCGTATTGTTTGTTTACACCGGTTTTTCCCCGGAGTTGGGTTTTCGCTTGCATTTGTTTCAAAATGCTGCTCTCGCTGAGGCGCAGGCCTCATTTTCGGGCCCCGCTCGTTCCGAATCGTGCTCCCGCTGCAGCGCTGGCCTTATTTCCGTGCTTCCGCTCGTTCCGAACCGTGTTCCCGCTGCAGCGCTGGCCTCATTACCGCGCTTCCGCTCGTTTCGACTCGCGTTCCCGCTGCAGCGCTGGCGTCATTCCCGTGCCATGCCACGGCATGCAATGCAATGCTAGGTTGATACTACGCTTCGCGGTGCTCTTCTACGTCATGCCACGCCGTGCTCTACAATGCATCGCGTACCTTTTCGGGATCATTGCCCTTCTCGACATCCGAATGTGCGAGTAGAGAGGGGATCTGCGCCATGGTAAGGTATGGGAGGGAGGGGTAGGATGTCAGTTATGACGCGAGCGCACCTAGCTTGTCCTCCTCCCCCTCCCTCTCCTCATTCTCCTCCTCCTCCTTCTCCTCCCCCCCTCCTCCTCCTCCTCCTCCTCCTCCTTGTTTTTGGGGCTCTCCCAGGCCCCATACAGTCCTCGCCCAGGGCCGAGCTTTTCGCTTTCCTTCAGGTCCTCCAGGTTTGCCTCCCCCCGTTTGTGTGCACACCGATTTCAAAGGCCTGGTTGACGGCCTTGCCCTTGGAGCCCGATGGCGCTGCTCGCCTCGGCGTTTAAACGTCGACCTTGGGGAACGCATATGGGCCAAGATTTCTGACCTGGGCGAGGCGGGGTCTGATGTGCGAGTTACCCTAGTTAAAGGACACCAGCAGGGCCAGAGCACCGATGCCCGAGGCAACCGGTGGGCCGACCTTGCTGCGCGCAATGGCAGAGACCTCCACTCCATCCCCAGAACTCAGGCCAAAGCTATGAAGCTTGGCCACCAACATTATACTCGCATCCTGCGATGGAGTACTACTGCCCTGGGGCTTTCCTTTGGCGAGCAGCGGGTTGATACTCGGCCCCGCAAGAAAGCCTGTCGGCGCCCTCGGCGAGCCACGGCCCCTCTGGAGCCCAAGGAGGATTCGGCTCATCTGCGCCATGTTTTCGCCCAGGTCCCCCATCGCAGCATTTGGAGATGCGAGTTTTGTAGGAAGGGCTCGAAGCTAGAAAGGACCCGTCGTCGTCTCTCGGTGCTTGCCTGCCCTGCTCGTTTGCGCGCTGCTGCCGCCATCCCTCGGCACCCCATCCACTGTCACTCCTCCTGGACACGCTGCGCGCGCCCAGGCTGACAACGAAGGGCAGATGCCGACGAATGAGGGCAGCAGTTTCGGTGCTGCCGTGCGATCTCGCCCCCCCTCGGACTCGTTTCGCTCGGTGCGCCCTCGGACGGAGTCCCCCACGCGTGGCCAGGAGAGTGTCCAAGGGGAGGCGGATCCCCCCCCTCCCTCTTCGGGCCTGGGTAGCCCTTCCTCGCCTCGCCCCCGCAGCCCCTCCCCTGGCTTTGAAAGACACGTCAGGCCACGCGTGGGCTTCGAGCCCGTCGCTGTTGCCTGGGATGGAGCTGCGAGTGCCCAGGCTGATGCCGCTGCCAGGGTTCTTTTTTTTCCAGAGCGCTCGGGGCCCGCCTTCCTCCCAGACAAGCGGAGGCGGATCGGCTCCAAGCGCCCAAGTCGGCCCTCGCTGGCCGACACGACAGTACCAGCCGAGCCCATGCCTGGAGCTGGCCCCGTTCCTGCCACGGCCGCTCGCGGCCACAGACTCTGGGTTTCCTCGGGTCATGTTTGCCTGTGCGTTTCCTGTGGGGCTTTCACGACGGGCACGGCTGGTCACCTCCTAGTTGATTGCCCGTCGGGGAGCACGCACCGTCTGTCAGAACGGGCAGTGCGCAAACGACGCCTCTTCATGCAGGGTTTCCATCCTGCGGACGAAGGAATGGAGGGTTCACGTCGAGTCCCCGCACCTCGTCCGCTACTCGTCTCAGACCCTGAGACTCACTGGGTCAGGTTCCACGGGAGCCCACCTTCTCACCCAGGCTGCGGGACTTAATCCCCCGTCTCTTTTGCCTGTGTGGCTGGTACCCGAGATCCTTTTGGTGGGGTCCCAGCCTCCTCGCAGGCCAGCCAGGCTGCCAGCAGCTTGGCGCCCTTGGTGGGCGCTCGTGCTCAGCGCGACGCTTCCCTCGGCAGTGCCGTATCCTCCTCCTCCTCCTCCTCCTCCTCCTCCTCCTCCTCCTCATCCTCCTCCTCCTCCTCCTCCTCCTCCTCCTCCTCTCCTCCTCCTCCTCCCCCTCCCCCTCTTCCCTCTTCCTCCTCCTCCTCCTCCTCCTCCTCCTCCTCCTCCTCCTCCTCCTCCTCCTCCTCCTCCTCCCCCTCCTCCTCCTCACCCTCCGCCGCGGGGCGCCCTGTTCGCACGGTAAAACAAGAATGCCCTCGCAGTTCTGTCTGGCATCGTCCGGTATCAAGGAAGCATCGTGCACGGTAGGTTCGCGCGGCGTTGGCGCGCTGGCGACGCTGGCGAAGAAGTTCAAGGTTGAATTCTGCGACGCGGAAGTACCGAGGGACACGATAACGCCATTTGGCCCGACGGAATTCAACTTTGAACGATCGGGGCCGCGATCGATTCAAAATTAAGCGATCGACGCGGTGTCACCAACCTTTGCGCGCGCCGACGCCGCACGAACCTACCGTACCCTCGCAACTCTGTCTTCAGCATCGACTAGCGTCGGTTAGCGTTTGGGAGTCGATGAGATAGTGCCGATTTCGCGTCGGCTAGCGTCGATCAGCGTCGATCAGCGTCGATGCAGCGTCGATTCAGCGTCGACTCGCGTCGATTCAGCGTCGGCTCGCGTCGATTCGCGTCTACTCGCAAGGGCCGACAAACTGGTATGGGAGGCCCCAGTGAGTTGCCACAGAAGCATCGTGCCCATGCTTTCCGTACCCAGCTCGGGCTTCGGGATCCGAGGTTACGTCTCGGTCAACCGGGGCGTCGCCAAGGCCCGTGCGGTGACGACCGTGCGGCAAGATTTTTTTCTGGCAGTGGCGCGGCGTTTGGGCTTGCCTATGGGCCCACCAAAGATAGTTGTGAGAGCCTCCGTAGCCATGTTGGCTCAAGCCTTGTGAGAGCATTCGAGGTTTTTGCTGGACCAATGTCATTTTCGCCTGCGAAGGTGCAGCAGTCCTGTCAGGCCGCCCACGGGCTTATCATGTGTGTCGCAGCGCTATGTACTGCGTTCTCCGCATTACGCCACGGTGTCTTCGCCACGTTCATCTCCTTGGGCGGAGCGAGTCTGCACATCGATATCGACATGTTCCTGTTTTCGCTTTGCGTTCTCGGCTACTTCGTCCATTCCCGCTACTGGAAGAGCACGGAAGGAATCACAAAAGAGAACAACTTGACCACCGCAATATCTTTGATCGGCAATTTGTTTTTCGAAGGTAGGCGCGAAGCCTTGCGCGCAGTCTCCGCCCAGGAACCTGCATCGCGTACGAATTTAGGTATCGTTGGTGACAGCCGCGAGGGTTCACGGGATCAGCTTGGACATGAAAGACACCGATCGAAGCCCGACATGTACATTATCAAGTGCGCGCAGAGAGATGGTGTGACCCACGAACTCCCGAGCATGCTGAAAGTGATGCACGCCTCCATCAGACTTAAACACGGAGAAGTAGCCGTGACGTTGTTCGACCAGATGTTGGAAAAGGGGGCTGTTCCTGGTGCACACCTTATTCACAAGGCCGTGTCCAGCCGCTTCTTCGAGCTCGTCGCTGAAACTCTCGATGACAAACGTGTGCAGATAGACGGGCTGCGGCTTTTTGGTTTAGTTCGAACTCATGGGATCAGCGCGTCGTACAAATTGCAGAACCGTATGCTGGGTGCGTGGAAGGGTCGTCAGCTTCCAGGGAGTGTCGTTGAATATCTCGTGAAGATGAAGCGCGCAGGTGTCAACCTCAGCAAATGGGCATATCGTTCCATTGTCGTGGCCTACGAGCGTTCCGATCCAGAATTTGCTTCGACGATTGGCAATGAAATGGAGGGATTAGGCATTCAGCTCCGCCGGGAGGCGTACAATGCGGTGTTGGGTGCTCGTCTTCAGCTTGGCATGCACAACGAAGCCCACGGATTGTTCATGAAGATGGGTGACCATGCGGTGGCTCCCAATGCAAGATCTCATAGCATCATGATCAGGGTGTATTCGTTCAGCGGCCAACACGAGAAAGCCGTTGCCATCTTCGAGACTATGCGGGGACACCCGTTCGAGCCCGACCACATCGATTACCATCATGCAATCCGTTCCTGCATTCTGATCCAGCGTGTTGAGTACGCCGTGAAGCTGTACAAGGACGCGATCCAGGCGAAGTTGTCCTTGCCCGCGAGCACGTACGTCATGCTGAGTCGTGCGTGCGAATGCGTTGGCTGAAAGTGTTTGGCGAACAAGTTCGAAACGGAGTGAAACACCAGCAAACAGTGCGTATGAGGGAGGTCTAGGCCGCGTGTAAATTTCAAGCGTAGCATGGCGTCACAGGTGCTATAGCAAACGAGCGGTCCAGGTAAGATGCAGCGAGGTGTTCGTTGACATCAAGCATGGCGGCGTGGCTGCTGCCAGACCCTCGTAATTCTGTAGTTGATGGCCGCCGTTTACGCATGTACACATGTTATCGTGCATCCGCGCCTTTGGGGCCGCGTGGTTCGGTAGGGCATGCTGTCCACGGATGTCTACGGCCTGCGCGAGGCTGCTATGCAGTTGTCTTCCCAAAATCGTGCAGAGTGTGCAAGGCTTGCTTTTAGTTGGTGTGTGTGTGTGAGAGGGTGGCCCGTAGTGTTGTGGTGTAGCTGGGGACGGCGCAACATGTGTTCGTGTTGGTTGCCGCGGCGCTGGCTGCTGGCACAACGCGGTATCTTCCGCCGCCGATGCTTGAAACGGCCACTCAGATTTCAGACCTCCTGGCGGTCTCCAACCCTTCCCTTCCTTTGCTCTTCTCCTTCTCCTCTTCGCTTGAATCTGCAAGGGTTCAAAACGATTTACCTAGGTCTTGCGGCGGTGCCTGACTGACCTACAGAGGCGTCCGTCGGAAATTCAAGTTCACTGGGTCCGTCTTGCGGACATTGAACGCTTGGTGCTATGAGGCCCCGCCGGTGAGAGGAGGGGGCTGGGGCGAGGGTGGGGGCATCTGTTCATTGGCCTCTGCATTCAGCCTTATGGCGTGTAGTCTCTTGACAGGGGATCCTGGATCACCACTTGTTGTCATGCGACAGTGGTGCTAGACCCCCCCGTCACTAGACTTTTTTGTTTTTGGAGCCTGCGCGCAACCCGTAACCCAGTGGTTTATGTCCGCCAGGCCCCGACAATGCCGTCTGGCACTCGAATCATCTTTGATTTGGTTGAGCCAGTTCGAGCTCCAGCAACCTTGAAGCTGGCATGCCTCCGGCGTGACTGCGACGTGGTGTGATAGGGAATCGCACGAAAGCGCAACCATGCGCGAACATCATTTGAAGAGGAAAAGGATCATGGGGCCCCCATGGGTTCACAGTTGAGCTGTTGTGGCGCTTTGTGACTTCCTTCGAAGTCTGGCCAGACCCTCGTGTCTTTCGCCAGCACGTTCTGGACAGCGCGCGCATTGTAGTTGGGGGCACTTTGTATCGCCAGTCTGCGTTCTGACAGCCGGTTTGTGGTTCAGGCTGGCGGATTGATTTTGACAGCTTGTCCTGGCCTCGGCCGCTGACGACCGGCGGCTCCGTCGGCTGGGCGTGCTTCTGCGGGGCAAGCTGCCGCTGGTCATTCCTGCGCTCAGAAAAAAAGATAGTTCTGCGAGCCTCGTGCGGTTTGCACGAAATGCTCTTAGAACATGTCTGGTTTAGGCCGTCTTCTTTTGATACATCGGTGTTATGTGATACGAGCCTTGCTTTTGTTTCCAGTGCATTGCACGTTTTTGCTGTAAGAGCGTGTCGTGACAGACCTGAAGGAATGCTGGGGCGGCAGGTTCCTGCTCTACTCTTGGGATTTGGAGGCTATCGCGCGGTCCGTCACCACACGGTTTCGGGACCCCCAGGCCTTGGGTGACGAACCAACAACACACACACCCATACCCATAGAGGGGTCGGAGGGGGCTATGGGTGCGTGTTGTCGGATGGGGGTCCCCGCTCGAACGGGAGCGTTCCCAGGGTCCGACAACCCGCACCCATACCCATAGCCTGTCCTCCTCCCAACGACCCCCCTATGGGTATGGGTGTGTGTTGCTCGTTAGGCCTTGGGGCCGGGGCCGCTGGAGTGACGCGAGGCACGGGCTCGAGTGCGCCGGCGTTCGCGCGTGAGCTGCCCGCGAAGGGGCGCGCGTCAGCGCCCTCGTTGCAGATGTGGCGTTAAGTCGGGCCTGTCCCCCAGACAGAGGGATTGTCGACGAAAAATAACACATACCCCAAAAATAGTCAAACAATAGTCCAAACATAGTCTGGGGACTATCTTTCGAGTATGTTCTGGCCTTTTTGGGGCATTTAGGAGGTATGTTTTAAAATTTGTCGTCGGAAATCCTCCTGTAAGGGAGACACGCCCGACATACATGTAGCTTTGCGCGCTGGCTGCCCGCATGAGCCACCGCGTAACGTCGCTGTGACATCTCGCGCAAGACCCGTTTCGTCTCGCCAGTCTTTTTTGACAGCACCCACCAGGAGGGGGACGTCACCATGGAGGAGCACTGCCTCCGCCGTCTGAACCATCCTGGGATAGTGAAGCTATCCGGCCATGCTGCCACGCACGTCCGCCGCGCGAGCTGGGGAGAGACCACGCGGCAGCGGTGCGCGGCGTGGCTGTGCCGCGTTGCCCGGCTGTTGCGCCGCTTCGTGAGGGCCCTTTGGGCGTCTCGAGGGCCCTGGGGCCTCCTCGGGGCACCCCTATCGGGGCCTCGCGGGGGCCTTCGGGGGGTTGCTTGGGCAGCCTGGGAGAATTCGAGGGCTTCTGTCTTGGGCTGGCCTGCGGGGCCGTCTGGGGGAAGCTTGGGGCCTTCTGAGGGCTCTTCCAGGGGAACTCCCCGACCGCTGTGACGCCATCGGTGGCGGCCCGAAGCTTCTAGGGCGGCACGGCAGGTTCGCATCGTGTCGACGCGGCCGCGACCCCGCCGCGGGCGTTCAAGGTCCAACACCGACAGTGGCCGAAAATGCATCGTTATCTGACGATCCGCCGCCTCGCAACGTGCCGATCGCTCAAGGTTGAGCGATCCACGCGGTGTCAGGGACAAACGCCGAAGACGTCACGGCTCGAACCCGCCGTAGGCAAAGGTTGACTGTTTGGGAACTCCCAGGAGCTCGCTGCTGGAGGGCTGCGCTGAAGAGCCCCTTGTGGCCTCCCGCTGAGGTCATGCTCAGGGAGCGCGGTGCTGTCACGAGGGGTTTCGGAAGGCTGCGACGACGACGACGACGTCGACGACGACGAGGTCAACGACGACGACGACGACGAGGACGAGAAGGAGGAGGAGGACGAGGACGACGACGACGACGACGACGATGACGAGGAAGAGGAGGACGAGGAGGAGGAGGAGGACGACAACGACGACGACGAAGACGAGGGAAGTCGGGAAGCAGACGTGGGGCATCTCGGCACCACTGCCAGCCTCTGTGAGGAGAGGCCTTGAGCGGCACGCAATACTTGCATTATCAAGTCGGGCATGTCTTTCTACAGGATGGAACATTCAACATGTCAACAAGTAGTCAGTGGACGATTGCTTCGACTAGTTTTGATGGGTTGAAGTCGATGTTCGACTATGTTTCAGTTGCCTTCCGAAACCCTGCTGTAGGGGGACATGCCCGACCTGACTGCATGGTCTAAATCCACACGTCCGCCCCCATGAGAGCTGGGACGCCGTTCTCTCGCGGCGATGGACGCTGCGCTGCAGTTCCGAGGCGAGCCCAGCTCGGATCCGATGCAAATGGGGTCCTAACCTCCTCCTCCTCCTCCTCCTCCTCCTCCTCCTCCTCCTCCTCCTCCTCCTCCTCCTCCTCCTCCCCCTCCTGCTCCTCCTCTTTCCTCGTGAGCAGCCCTGCTGCCGCTCTCACTCCTGGGCGCCACGGACTGGCTGCCGCACCTCTCGGGGCTCCAGGGACGGGGGTCAGTTCAAGCGGAGGTCAGGGCGCCGGATCCTGCATCGGCGGCGAGCGAGAGGGGGAACTGAGAAGGAGGAGGCCTTCTCAGAAGGCGGCGGGACTTCTCAGAAGCCCTCGCGCCTTCTGAGAAGTGTTTTATGTCTTCGGGGAAGGCTTCGACAACTTCTCAGAAGTCTGGGTGACTTCCGAGCCTACTGAGAAGGCATGCCCCTTCTCACTTCCCCCCCTGGCTCGCCGCCTATCGCAGGATCCTGCAGAGCCAGGGCGGCACTGATCCCGGCTGGCGTGCAGGAGCTTGCAGGAGCATGTAGGATCTTGCAGGATCTTGCAAAGCCCGATGGACCCGGGTCTGGATCGACCCTGGTCATTCTCGGCACCGTAAAGGGTACTATCGGTTATTTTGGATTGTCGCCGCCATCCTTCTTTAGAGCCTTCTTGGACTGTCACTTTAGGGACTCTTTCTGGCATTGCAGCGTTGCCTACATCGGTGATGGTTGGCTTCGCCGGGTCACTGGCCAAAGTACCCGTCAGTGGAGTCCCCGTGAGAGGGGCGCTGAGGAGGAGGAGGAGGTGGAGGAGGAGGGGGAGGGAGGAGGAGGAGGAAGAGGAGGAGAGGGAGGAAGAAGAAGAAGAAGAAGAAGCAGAAGCAGAAGCAGAAGCAGAAGCAGAAGAGGAGGAGGAGGAGGAGAAAGAGGGAGTGGGGGAGGAGGAAGAGGTCCGCAGAGATCCCCGAGCGCACCTTCGCGCTTTTTCTGTCTGCCGTGGCCACGCCGGTCGTACGGGGCTGCTGCGCCGGAGCAAGGAAGGAAGGCCGCCGGACGGCTCGCGGGGCCCGTCGACGGAGCGCCTCCGGAGACCCCTCCGGGGCCCCTCGCGGGCCGAGCGAGAGGGAGGGACAGGGCAAGAGGGGGGGGGGTACGAAGTCTGCTGCGTGCAGTGCAAGAGGGGGTCAAGAGGGCAAGCGGGGGGCTAGGGCAGGAGGGGGGCAAGAGGCCCCTCGCGGGCCGAACGACGTCGGGGGTGGACAGAACCCCCAACAGTGACACGTCGATTAGTGAATTGTCCGTTCTCGGTTCTCGAGAGGGCGCCGCGGCCGTCATTTTCCAGGCTTGCGCCCACCAGGTTTGGGCCTCAGGTCGTTTCCAGTAAACCACGTTTTACTAAAGGGAGGTCTGTCCATCCCCGAAACGAGAGGGAGGGATAGGGCAAGGGGGGGGTACGAAATCTGCTGCATGCAGCTGGTTTCGGCCCCGCCGCTGGGCCCATTCCTCGAGACATGGGCGCCGGGAGGCGCCGTGAAAGTCAGCTACTTATGAGCTGATTCTCAAACCCCCTATCTCCCCCCTTTCGCCCAGCCCGACCTGTTCCCTCCGACGGATGCAGTTCGACACCGAGTCCGACAGGTCCAGTCTGGTTCGGCTCCAACGTTCTGGCGATCCTCGAATGAGAACAAACGCCATGATCATAAATTTTGGGCCCAGCACGGATCCAAGAAATCCGCGGAGCGTCAAAAGTTTATGTGTACGGCGTTTTGTTTTGTTTTCTTATTGTGAAGTTTCTTAGTTGTATTAGTATTATTATAACTATGAGTATTATGTTTCTTCTTCTTTTTCTTCTCCGTCTACGTTCTGGCGATCCTGTGCGGCCCGATGTTTGAACGGCGTCGTCGTGCGTCTTGGCGCGGCCGGTCTGATGGGACTGCGATTCTGTACCGAGGCGGGCCGATCCCGCGCACATTCCGACTCGATGCGATGTCTCAAGCCGATGTTGGTAAACCTTGCCTTCCCAATCGCGGCTAACAAAGTACACCACTTCTCTTCGGTAAGCGACAAAGTACTTAGAATAGGCGCAAGACGTGGTAATATCTCGGCGTCCACCCTGTGCGGTGCTAGCTGCTTCGCCACAGGTTGCAAGAATAGTGAAAGGCAGAGGGGTGTGACACGCGTTTGCTGCTGCAAAGTGCGGCTGCGGATATACCAGCTTTCGGGACAACAATTTTCATTACATAGCTTTGGAATTATGTCCTGGTGGGGAGCTATGGGAGCTGGTCAAAGATGTCGGTTGTTCTGACCGCGTCGCCAGACATTATTTGCTGCAAGTGCTGGAGGCGGTCGCATACCTCCGCGATGCTGGAATAGTGCACCGAGACCTGAAGGCAGAGAACGTGTTGCTGAGCGAGCGAGGGGCTGCCAAACTGGTAGACTTCGGCTCCGCAAAGGACCTGGAGTGTCCACACGTAAAAGGTGCTGGCAACCAGCATTTCCGAAAGGTGCTGGAGGACAACGTGGGCACCCCGAATTTCATGGCGCCCGAGGTTCTCAACTGGCCCCGATCAAACTCCGGCCGAGATCGCGGCCAGCCGCGTGGGTCACCCCGCCGGTCCCAGAGAGCAAAAAACAACATTCACAAACATGTTTGTCCAAAAGTCAGCGTGGATCTCTTGCGTCGGCGCTCGACCCGTTCCTCCCACACCCCTTCACCAGCGCACGGTCCGCCGACAACATTTGTGGCCAGATTTGCTTCCAGCGTGTGTACACAGGGCTTTCGCACGTGCGCCCAGCGGGTGGTCTGCGAAAGTGCCGCATTTGAGCCTTGTGCGTTTCCAGCTTCCTTGTGCAGCCTTATGTACGGGCGTAATCAAAATGTATTTACTATTACGACGAGTTCTACTGGCATTGCTAGTACGACTATTGATCTTACGAGTAATGTTTCTACTGTTACTAACATGAATTACTATTTCTACTACTACGACGACGACTACTACTGCTAGTACTACTACTACTACCACTACTACTACTTCCCCTGCTACCACTACTGCTACTACTACTACGATGACTGCTTCTGCTACTACTACTACTACTACTACTACTACTACTACTACTACTACTAGTACTACTACTACTACTACTACTACTACTACTACTACTACTACTACTACTACTACTACTACGACTACTGCTACTACTACGATTATTCTTACAACCACTACTACTACTACTACTACTACTACTTCTACTACTACTACTACTACTACTACTACTACTACTACTACTACTACTACGACTACGACTGCTACTACTACTACTATTACTACTACTTCTGCTGCTAGTTCTGCTACGATCACGACTACTAGTACGACTGCGACTATTACTACGAGGACTATTGCGACTGCTGCGACTACGACTACGACTACTTCTTATAGTACCACGACTACCAGTAGTAGTAGTAGTACCACGACTACTACGACTACAGTTACGCCCAGTACCACCATTGCTACTACTACTACTGCCATTACCACTACTACTGCAATTGCCTACTCGTACTACTTCGATTACTACAACGACGAAACCCAGTACTACTATTACTACCACTACTACTAGTATTAATACTACTACCACTACTACTTCTACTACGACTACTACTACCGAGAACTACTACTACTACTACCACCACTACTACTACTACTACTACTACTACCACTACTACTACTACTAGTACTACTACTTCAACTACTACTACTACTACTACTACTACTACTACTGCTATTACTTCTACTACGACTACTACTACTACTACTACTACTGCTACTTCTTCTACGACTACTTCTCCTACTAC